TGTGGAGCGGCTGGGCCCGTGAGCCATGGCCGCTGAGCCTGCGCGTCCGGAGCCTGTGCTCCGCAACGGAAGAGGCCACAACAGTGAGGGGCCCGGCGTACAAAAAAAAAAAAAAAAAAAAGAAAAGAATGTGAGGGGATGAGGACCTGGAAGCTTCTCAAGGGAGGGATGGAGGCTTCACTGACTTGTATCCTTCACACAGAAAGAAAGGACTCAGTAAACCCTTGTAGAAAGATTAGCAAATCAGGGTGGCAGCCCCTAAGAGAGAAGGTAAAGTGATGGTAAGGATTCACACTGGTTCCTGCAGTGAGTCTCCCATCTCTTTTGCCAGAAAAATTCTGGCAGATACCCTGGGAGGTTTGGAAAGAGTCATTTGTCATTGTCCTCACTGGGCCACCTCCCATGACCCTTTTCTTTTTTTTAGATTAAATTTATTAATTTATTAATTTATTTTTGGCTGCGTTGGGTCTTCATTGCTTTCTCTAGTTGCAGTGAGCGGGGGCTACTCTTCGGTGCATGGGCTTCTCAAAACTTAAAACTATTCAAGTGTTAATAACGGCAGGTGCTCATTTAACAATAACAGTGTTGTACATTTCTTTTCTCTCTGCGAGATTGCCCAGAAGCCTATAGAATTGCCAAGATTGTCCTAGCCTTTTTAAAAAAAATTTTTATTGGAGTATAGTTGATTTACAATGTTGTGTTAGTTTCAGGTGTACAGAAAAGTGAATCAGTTATACATATACATATATCCACTCCTTTTTAGATTCTTTTCCCATATAGGTCATTACAGAGTATTGAGTAGAGTTCCCTGTGCTATACAACAGGTCCTTATTAGTTATCTCTTTTACTTTTAGTAGTGTGTTTATGTTAATCCCAACCTCCACCTTTCCCCTTTGGTAACCATAAGTTTGTTTTCTAAGTCTGTGAGTCTGTTTCTGTTTTGTAAATAAGTTCATTTGTGTCATTTTTTAGATTCCACATCCAAGCCTTTTAATGACATGTTCTTTTCCTCCTTCTGAGCACCTTCTCTCTCATCTTCCTTCCTTTCTTCTACTAGTTGTACTCAGCCCTCAAGTCCAGTGAAAAGTCTCCTGTCCTTCTGAAGCCTTCCCATGGGTATTTCGCCCAGCTTCAGCCATCTATCCAGCTTCCAGCATCCATAGCCCTTACAATCTCTGCCTCATACATAATTGTTCTGAAGCAGAAGGTTTCCTGGAGGTTCATTCTGTATTCTGAGACAAACTGTGAGCCCCTTGTAGGCAGAGGCCAAGGTTTATCATCCTTAGTGTTCCCACCACCTCTAGCATAGAGCTGGATCCATAGTAGGTGCTCAGTAAACACAGGGGCTGGTGTTAACCATAAATTGTACTCAGCCAGCACTGCGCCCCTGAGGGCTTGAGTTTGTGTTTCCAAGCCCAGGAGAAGGTAGAAATGCAGTGGCATTATTTTCATCACAGTCCTGTTCACACGATCTTCTTTGTTTTCTTGCCTGGAGGGGGTGGAGCAGGGGAACAGGCCAAGTGTGCAGAGCTGTTTGACATCCCAGCAGCTGTACAGAATGCTCACTTGTTCTCCCCTTTCATGTGCCAGAATTGCCGCACATCACAGCTTCTTCCTGCACTGGTGTTAGCCTTGTGGCCTCTGTCCTGCTCCTGCTTCTCCAGGAAGTGGCTGAGCCTGGTTCTGCGAACCCCAACGGGGTATCTAGTCCCAGATAGAGAAGATGCCAGAGCTTCCCCTTGTGGGCAGCGACCAATCTCAACTGAGGAGGTGCCGTGGAAGTTCCAGGTCATGGTGGTGGCTTTCTTGGGGTTTTCTGAGGATAAGAGAAATGCAAAGATTCATCTGTGGCATCTGAGCCATCAGCCATGGACTTAAAGACCTTGATTCAAGTCCCACTTTAGCTGTCAATATGCTTTGTGACTTTGGGCAAGACACCTTCCCTTTCTGGGTCATGCAACACTTTGGTGGTGCAAGTGGAACCTGATTGCAGGTCTCCTTGCTCCTGGTGCTTCCTCTTTCTCCTATTCCACAGAAACACTACAGGTATTTGATATCACACCAAGTCACCTACCCTTTCGCTTTTGACTTGTTCCTGTTAGTACCTGAGGTGCTCTTGAGAGTAGGGACTTTCTTCAGAGGCCTGCTGTCAGAGATCTACCCCCAAAACGTGATTCTCCTACATTTCACTCCTTTCAGCCTCAGACTTCTTGGGGCTATGTGATGGGTCTGTTTGTCTCTCTTTTTTAAAATTAAAGTATATGGGCTCCCTTGGTGGCGCAGTGGTTGAGAGTCCACCTGCCGATGCAGGGGACACGGGTTCGTGCCCTGGTCTGGGAAGATCCCACATGCCGCGGAGCGGCTGGGCCCATGAGCCATGGCTGCTGAGCCTGCGCGTCCGGAGCCTGTGCTCCGCAATGGGAGAGGCCACAACAGTGAGAGGCCCGCATACCGCCAAAAAAAAAAAAAAAAGTATAGTTGATTTATAATGTTTTGTTAGTTTCTGGTGTACAGGAAACTGATTCAGTTATACGTATATATAACATATTCTTTTTTCTTATCCTTTTCCATTATGGTTTATTACAGGATATTGAATATAGCTCCCTATGCTATACAGTAGGACCTGACCTTGTTATTTAGTGTCTGTCTCTTTAGACAGCTGCAAAGAGATCCTTCCAGAAAAGGTGGGCCAAGTGACACTGCTTTGTTGAAGCAAGTAATGCCGTCCCATGACTGGGCTCCATAAAGATTTGTCATATGAATACATGAATGAGTGAATGAATGAATGAATTCTAGCAAGAGGCAAGAGAATTGGTGATGCCATGGGATCACCTGAATCATCACTGTAAGAGACCAGGGCAGTCTTGGGAAGACCCCTCTGTGAAACTGACCATCTTAGGGCAGCACTTGCCCAATTTCCTGTCCTGATGCAATGGGTTCTGTCCCCCACCGCCACCCCAGCTCTCTCTCCATGTCGATGCATTCAGCAAGACCGTGCAGCGAGAGCTGGGGTGGGAGTAAAGGCGTCCTGGCTTTGGCTCTGCAGCTGTATGTGCTTAGGCAAATCCTTTCCCTCCCCAGGGGATCTCGGTTTCCCATCTCTAATGTTTAAGTGCCTTCCAGCACTAGCCTCCTGTGACTTTATGATCATGTGAAGCATCCTTGCTGGGTTAGAGGCCACCTACTCACCAGGGCAGGAGTCACCAAGGGCCATGGCACAGTAAAGCCTCCGGTGCCACTGAGACTGCTGTTGCTGAGATTAGACAGGGATGCTTGGCATCGAGGCTGTGCCCAGGGCCTGTTTTAGCAACACGGCTAGTAAATATTGACTCTGTGGCACAAAAATGGAAAGCAGAGATGACTGTGTTAACTCACTCAAAGGGTAGAAGTTCACCAAGCCCTGATAAGACAAGATGTAGTTACGCAATCTGTGGGCGTATCATTGACAAATACGTTGTTTAGGGCTGGGGAGAGCTGAAAATAGGACAAGGAAGCCTTCACGGCTGATCCACGGCTGCTGTCCTGTTGGCATAGGCTGGCCTGCTGGTTCATCGTTCATTTTTAAATGAATGGATACTTACATTCTTGAAGGATAGAGAAAAAGGACTGTAAGGAAATACACCAAAACATTCACTGTGACATTCTCTAGAGATGGTGAAATTGCCAGTAATTAAAAACTATTCTTCACAGTCTACAACAATCACATTGCTTATAATCAGAAAAAGGTAATGTATTAGAAATGAAATACCCTTTTTTGAAGAGTCTGAAGGAGCTTTCAGAATCTTCTAAGTACTTCAGATCTTTGTGTTTTGCCTACTGGACATTGTATGGTAACGTAGCTCTCAAAAACAAGAAAACTCCATATGAGAGAAGGTACTCTTCAGAATAAACCCTGATCTAAGCGTGTTTATGTATTGATTTGTACCCATGAAAGCAGAACGTGGTGGGATAAAATTCTGGTCACTTGAGATAGCAGGATTTTTTTTTTTTCTATGTAAACAAACACTGCTTTGAGTGCTTTCTGTTTGCCAGCCCTGTATTCTACAGTGACCAGGCCCGGCATGGCCCAGAACTGGGCAGATCTGAGCACAGGGCACTCCGGTAAGTGGTTCCAGTGGTTCTGGTAAGGTAGCAGGAGCCAGGTATGGAGGAGGGACTAGGCCTTAGAATTTGGAAGGCAGGGGTGGGAGTGCCATTATATTAATAATAATAATTATCACTGATTAAACACCAACCATATGCCAGGAACCTTCCACATATTACTGATCCTTACAAAACTTTGTGTGATAGGCATTAGCTACCTTTTAGGGATGAGGAAAGCAGGGCTAGGAGAGTCACCTCCCAAAACTTCAGGGCCCATCAGCAGCAGGCTCTGGATTCAAACCCACATCTGCCTGACTGCAAAGCATTTGCTTTTCCTACCCTGCCAGGCTGCCTCTCAAGCAGTTTAGGGTTTTACAGGAGAGCACAGACACCTGCAAAGGGAGCCTGAGCTAGCAAGATGCATGCAGTCTCCATCCAGGACTGAAGGTCTTTGGAGGAAGACGCAGCCCCAAGCATAAATCATCTGTGAGTAGCTACAGGTAGCACCCTTGTGTGCCAGCCCTGACCCCAGGCCTGGGTCCATCTGCCCTCCTCGGCCCTGGGGCCACCCAGTGGGGCCATTGGGGCCACAAGAACCATGGGACAGGTGAGCCTTCTTTGAGGTTCCTTCTGGCCAGTCCAAACGGCCCTTCATCCTCATCATCCCTTGTGCGATGGGGGAGGTCATTTGTCGGGGGGCAGTTGAAGTTTGGGGCTGCACAGTCAGGGCCTGTGGAGGAGGAGAAATTGGTCTGTAGGCCTACTTTGTACCTGGTTAATTAAAACAACCAGTAAAAGAGTCTCATGGTGGTTTAGCTTTGTAGCTGGATCGCTAGAGCTAATTTCTGAGTCTGACCAATCGCCTCTTTCGGCCCAAAGATCCTGTCCTCACAGCCCTTGGGACTGGCCAGGAGCCTCACTTCCTCGCCCAGCTCCTCTGGAAATCTCTCTACTGTAACCTACCTGGAGAATGCTTCGTCTGCCCCCTTCACCCGGGAAGGCTTGCCTTCTGAGAATGAATGCCTCAGAGTTGAAGTTCGTCAGTTAAAGTTGGTCTCCACTTATTTTGTTTTCTTAGGAGAAAGGATGTGAGTTTTGGGGGAGGGGCTGAATTGTGGTATGTGGTGTTTTTAAAAAACTATGTTTTTGGCCCAAGCAGCTGAGTTGATTGCAGCCCAGCAGCACCCGTTATGGAAATGGCTTATCTTGTGGTTCTCCAGAGTTGTGGCTAGAACGTATTTGGCTTCCTGGCAAAACCATATAGGATTTTGAAATTTGATGGAGAAGCCTTCAAAGTTACCAAAATTGAAAGGAGTCGTGGCATCTGTATTCTCCTTCTGGCCCAGGGGTCTGGGTTTCTCTGAAGCTCACACCAATGTATCTGTTTTTTGACATAATAATGATAATCGTAATAATCACCTACATTTGTATAGAACTTTACAGTTTATGAAGAACATTCACATACATTATCTCATTCAATTCTTGTGGCTACATTTCTAGATAGGCAGGGACAATTAACCCTATTTTACAGAAGAGAAAATGAGGACTCAGAGACGTTAAGTGACCTGGTCACACAGCTAGGAAGAGGCAGCATCAGAAGTTGAACCAAGGTTTTCTGACTCCAGACCAGGAAAGGCAGGGAGGTTTGCATCCAGTTTATGATGTGGACCTGCCATTGTGTTGGAATGCAGGCTCCCTGGGCACAGGGAGATGCAAGCAACCCAAGACTGTCCCGGGCCCAGCAGAGCCAGCCTCTGTAGAAGATGAGACGACCTTCAAGGTGCAACCTTCAAAGGCTCTTTCTGAGCCTTATGGTAAGTGGGTCTTGGCCCCCTGTAGACCAGCAGTGGGAGGACCCCATATTAAGAGCTCATAGAGCTTTTCTGCCCGTGGATGCCGCCGAGTAAGCATCGTTGACGTCTCCCCGCCCCCTCCACTGCCATCATGTCTAAGTCAGAGTCACCCAAAGAGCCCGAACAGCTGCGGAAGCTCTTCATCGGAGGTTTGAGCTTTGAAACAAGTGATGACAGTCTGAGGAGCCACTGTGAGCAGTGGAGAACGCTCACAGACTGTGTGGTAACGAGGGATCCAAACACCTGGTGCTCCAGAGGCTTCGGGTTTGTCACATATGCCACTGTGGAGGAGGTGGATGCGGCCATGAATGCAAGGCCACACGAGGTGGATGGAAGAGTGGTGGAACCAAAGAGGGCCGTCTCAAGAGAAGATTCTCAAAGACCTGGTGCCCACTTCACTGTGAAAAAGATTTCTGTTGGTGGCATTAAAGAAGACACTGAAGAACATCACCTAAGAGATTGTTTTGAACAGTATGGGAAAATTGAAGTGATTGAAATCATGACTGACTGAGGCAGTCGCAAAAAGAGAGGCTTTGCTTTTGTAACCTTTAATGACCATGGCTCTGTAGACAAGATTGTCATGCAGAAATACCACACTGTGAATGGCTACAACTGTGAAGTAAGGAAAGCCCTATCTCAGCAAGAGATGGCTGGTGCCTCATCCAGCCAAAGAAGTCAGAGTGGTTCTGGAAACTTTGGTGGTGGTCATGGAGGAATCTTCAGTGGTCGAGGTGGCTTTGGTGGCAGCCGTGGTGCTGGGGGATATGGTGGCAGTGGGGATGGCTATAATGGATTTGGTAACGATGGAAGCACTTATGGAGGTGGTGGAAGCTACAATGATTTTGGCAGTTACAACAATCAACCTTCAAATTTTGGACCCATGAAAGGAGGAAACTTTGGAGGCAGAAGTTCTGGCCCCTATGGTGGTGGAGGCCCACACTTTGCCAAACCCCGAAATCAAGGTGGCAATGGTGGTTCCAGCAGTAGCAGTAGCTGTGGCAGTGGCAGAAGGTTTTGATTACTGCCAGGAAGGAGTGTGCTACTACAGGCTTATCAACTCTTAAAAAACAAAATTCCAGTTCAAGCTCATGGCTAAAGGGAGCATCCTTATGAGGACCTTTATCTGAGCCACTGTGCACTTCATTTTCACTGCCATGCAGTAGTCATTAGCTGCTATGCAGCTCGAATTAATCATTCAATTTTGTGAATGGACTTTTTAAAAATAAAATGCATTTAACTTGGGAAAAAAAAAAAAAGAGCTCATAGAGCCCTGGGGTTAGCTGCTTTTGAACTTCGGGGCGGTAATTCCCACCTGGCACATACTGTCCTTGTCCTGCATGGCATAGGCAGGAGAGAGGGTGTCCTTGGCAGGGCAGGGCCCTCTGGGTCAGCCAGGCTGTGGTCTCCTGCAAGACCGCAGCTGGCACAGGTCCCTGACCATGTGGTGCCCTCTCCTGCCGCCTCACCACCCTGCAGGGACCTGCTCTGCTCTTCTGCCCACATCACCTCATCCTTTCCTGCCCACCTCCTCTCAGGATGCTTCCTTTCTCCATGCCCCTTGCTTGTCTGGTCATTTCTCTCTCCTTCCTCAAAGGTGGCGCATCTTGTTTTTATTTAATGGTCTTGACTTTTCTGAGGGATCAGATCTGTTTTTTCAGTTAGACGTCCGCTCCCCCGTGGTACCTTGCCCGTGGTCTTTGGTAAATATTCAGTACCTATTGGTAAATACCATTGGCTGCTCACCTGGTGTAGGAAAGTGTTTTGGGCTCCTGGCCTCGCCCAGGACCTGAAGTCTCCTTCAGAGACCTGAGAGCTGTTGGGACAATCACGCAGTGTTCAACCTGAAAGGGACCTTCAAGAGTAGTTAATAATCCAACACGGGTTTTCCAGAAGAAGAAATGAAAACCCCGGAGGGAGTGAGTTGTTCCTAAATTATCTGGTGGCTTTGAACAAGTCACTCACTTCCTGTGTTCTCATTTCTTCCTCTGGAAACCAGAGTGTTGGACTGTTAGATACTCTCAAAGCTCCCTTTTAGATTGAACGTTGGATGATTGTCCCAACAGCCCTCAGGTCTCTGAAGGATGGTGTGTGATGCGGCAGGAAGTTTTTCCCCATGCCTGAGGGAGGGTTGGAGATACTCACTCCTCCACCTCTGCCCGCAGCACTGCTGTCTCCTCAGGTAGTACTAGAACACCAGACTGCAGGATGGATCACACTTTTCTCTGTAAGCAGTCTTGGAGATAACCCCACTTCCCAAGGGTCAGGTGCTCTGGGATGCAGGAAGGCCATCTTGGAGCCCTTGGTTAGAGGAAAATGAAGTAAATGAACACTTGACCGGAGTCACTGCACCTCCAGGGAGGACTCAGGCAGCCAAGCCTCCGGCTCAGAACCCTGGCTGGAAGGTGTTTCTTTCTGGCAAAGCTTCCAGTCACACCCAAAGAAGGTTGGGATTTGTTAAGTGCAATGACTAATTAGTCCTGAGGCGGGAGATCTCTACCCACTCACGATGGTATCATGATTTATTCACGTGAGGTTGGAACACTTACAGGGACTGGACCTTTGTTTCCTGTGGCTTCCATGTCATGTGCAGACAACTGTCTTTTTCCAGAATGGATAATTTCTCAAACCTAGCTTGCTTTCCCAGTTGCCGCCAGGAAACTTATAACTCTGGTCACTTGACAGCGCCCCCCTTCCTGGGTCTGCAGTTGTTTTGGAAGGAATGCATTCTTATCTGGGCCTCAGTTCCTTTCCTAGCAATGCAAGCGCTGGGCTAGCTGCTATCTCAAGGCCTTCCAGCCCTCAGGTTCTTTACTTTTTCTTGCCCCTTTTCCCAGCGGACACTTCTATTTTCTTAAGGGATATGCTTCCATAGAGCTGCTGCAAGAAAATCAGAGACATCTCAGCTGCTTGGAAGCCCTATGCCTGGTTTCACCTTTCTGCCCAATTACTAAGTCTTAAAGGCACCTAGTGTCCTTTAAGCTGCCAGTTTTCTGCCTTTCAAGATCACACAGACTCAATGTCTAAAATCTCAGTAAGGAAGGACAAGGTCTCAGCCCTGAGGCAGAGTTAAGGCGGGCTCACTCCGCTCTGTATTCCCTCAGAATGGAGGGTAGGACCTGTCTCACTCCTCAGGACGTTTGCAGTGTCACTGTGACTGCTTCCTGCGCTCTGGCTGTGGAAGTGATTTGTCTCCTCAGTGATTTGGTTGCCACCTTGTGGATCGTCTGGGGGTAGGGGTGGCAGGGGCCTCAGGCCTTATAGGGTCTAAAAATGGTTTTGCTTCCGTGCTTTCTTTTTGTCTGTTTGCCATTATGATGACACCGGAGATATAATTTATATCCTGTTTTCCCCAATTACATTACATTGTAAACATTGCCCTCTCATTTTCTCGGGGAATATATTTATCGGCCAGGTGACATGATCAGGTTAATTTTAATAGTTGAAAAAGAAAACTAGTGGATAAAAAAAAAAAAAATCAAATAGTGCACTGAAAAGTTTCCTCCCCCATCCTCCTGAATCTTTCTAGCCCCAGGCCTCAGAAGGGACCATTATTAAGTTTCCATATATCCTTCCAGAAACTGTCTGTGCATACACAGCCATACATATGCACGTTCTGTATTTTTTTTAAATGTAGATTGGATCAGCCTGTGCATGTAGATGGGATCAGAATGTTGTTCTGCAATTTGATTTTTTAATCTTGTGCATTTTCCCAGATCCGTGTGTGTGTGTGTGTGTGTGTGTGTGTGTGTGTGTGTGTGTGTGTGAGATGTTCTTTTTAACAGCTGCATAGACCAACTATGGATGGACCATAATGAATTTACCCGGTGACATTGAGGTTGTTCCTACAATGCGCATCCTTGTATATACATCTGCATACCTCATTTACTCACCTCCTATCTGCCAAGTATGGTTCTAGACACTGACGATTCTGCAGTAAAAAAGACAGACTCCAGTGCCACACTCATACCAGTATAATTGTTAGATAAATCCTGGAAAGTGGACTTGTTGGCCGATTGATTTATCACATTTATTGAATGCATGTAAGCCATGTAGAATATTTTGTCACATGCTTGATGAATGTTTGAATTTTTGGCTGCCTGAAACTTTCTCCCTTACACTTGCCCCAACCACGGTATCCGTACCCTCTCCTCAGCCTCCCAGTGGTTAAAGGGCCATTTACTGAGGCTTCGGAAGGTCACTACAGCAGTGCTGGGTGATGACAGTAACATGTGTTCGCTGACAATTTTCTTTCTTTCTTTTTTTTCTTAACTGACGTATAGTTGATTTATAGTACTATATTAGTTTCAGGTGTATAACATAGTGATTCAATATTTTTTAGATTATACTCAATTTAAAGTTATTATAAAGTATTGGCTATATTCCCTGTGCTGTACAATATATTCTTGTAGCTTATTTCTTTTATACATAGTAGTTTGTACCTCTTAATCCCCTATTCTTATTTTATCCCTTCTCCCTTCCCTCTCCTCAGTGGTGACCACTAGTTTGTCCCCTATGTCTGTGAGTGTCTTTCTGTTTTGTTATATTCACTTGTTTGTTTTATTTTTTAGATTCCATATATAAGTGATAGCATACAGTATTTGTCTTTCTCTATCTGACTTATTTCACTAAGCTTAATACCCTCCAAGTCCATCCATGTTTTTGCAAATGGCAAAATTTCATTTTTTTTGTATTTTATTTTATTTTATCGAAGTATAGTTGATTTACAATGTTGTGTTAGTTTCTGGTGTACAGCAAAATGATTCAGTTATATATATGTGTGTGTGTGTATATATATATATTCTTTTTCAAATTCTTTTCCATTATAGTTTATTACAGGATATTGAATATAGTTCCTTGTGCTATGCAGTAGAACCTTCTTGTTTATCTATTTTATATGTAGTAGTTTGTATATATGTTAATTCCAAACTCCTAATTTATCCCTCCCCACCTTCCCCTTTGGTAAGCATAAATTTGTTTCCTATGTCTGTAAGTCTGTTTCTGTTTTGTAAATAAGTTCCTTTGTATCATTTTTTTAGATTCCACATGTAAGTGATGTCATATAATATTTGTATTTCTCTGCCTGACTTCAATTAATATGATAATCTCTAGGTCCATCCATGTTGCTGCAAATGGTATTATTTCATTCTGTTTTATGGCTGAGTAATATTCCATTGTATATATATACCACATCTTCTTTATCTGTTCATCTGTCGACGGACACATAGGTTGCTTCTATGTATTGGCTATTATAAATAACGCTGCTATGAACTTTGGGGTGCATGTAACTTTTCAAATTAGTGTTTCTGTTTTCATTGTATATATACCTAGGAGTAGAATTGCTGGATCTGTAGTTCTGTTTTTAGTTTTTTTGAGAACCCTCCATACTGTTCTCCATGGTGGCCGCACCAGTTTACATTCCCACCAACAGTATATGAGTGTTCCCTTTTCCCCACACCCTCACCAACATTTGTTATTTATAGACTTTTTGATGCTAGCCATTCTGACAGCTGTGAGGTGATATCTCACTGTGGCTTTGATTTGCATTTCTTTGATGATTAGCAGTGTTGAGCATCTTTTCATGTACCTGTTGGCCAACTGAAAAATGTCTATTCAGGTGTTTTGGCCATTTTTAATAGGTGTATATATATATATATAGAGAGAGAGAGAGAGAGAGAGAGAGAGTTGTATGAGCTTTTTATGTATTTTGGATATTAACTCCTTATCAGTCAAATCATTTGCAAGTATTTTCTCCCATTCCGTAGGCTGTCTTTTTGTTTTGTTGATGGTTTCCTTTGCTGTGAAAAAGGCTGGCACTTTTAAGTTCCTTGAGGTACGGCTTTGCCATGTGTCCTCACAATTGCGTGAGGAAGTCAGAGTGGCTGGTTTGCACTTCACAGAAGGAACTGGGGCACAGAGAGGTAAGATTGAGCTAAGGTTGATGAAGGGAGTCCTAGCTCCCCACAAAGCTGGCTGGTAGCAAGGCTGGGATGAGGACTCAGGAAGAGGGACTCTGCTTCCTGGGACTACTTCAAGGAGTTCTCAGAGTTCCTGCCATTTAAATGAAAGCATTTTACAAACAACCCAATCCAAAAATGGGCAGAAGACCTAAACAGACATTTCTCCAAGGAAGACATACAGATGACCAAGAGGCACATGAAAAGATGCTCAACATCACTAATTATTAGAGAAATGCAAATCAAGACTACAATGAGGTATCACCTCACACCAGTCAGAATATCCATCATCAAAAAATCTACAAACAACAAATGCTGGAGAGGGTGTAGAGAAAAGGGAACCCTCTTGCACTGTTGGTGGGGACGTGAATTGGTACAGCCACTATGGAGAACAGTATTGAGATGCTTTAAAAAACTAAAGATAGAATTACCATGTGACCCAGCAATCCCACTCCTGGGCATATACCCAGAGAAAACCATAATTCAAAGAGACACATGCACCCCAATGTTCATTGCAGCACTGTTTACAATAGCCAGGACATGGAAGCAACCTAAATGTCCATTGACAGACGAATGGACAAAGAAGATTTGGTACATATATACAATGGAATATTACTCAGCCATAAAAAGGAACGAAATTGGGTCATTTGTAGAGACGTGGATGGACCTAGAGATTGTCATACAACGTGAAGTAAGTCAGAAAGAGAAAAACAAATATCGTATGTTAACGCATATATGTGGAATCTAGAAAAATGGTACAGATGAACCTGTTTGCAAGGCAGAAATTGAGACACAGATGTATAGAACAAACGTATGGACACCAAGGGGGTAAAGCCGGGGGGTGGTGGGATGAATTGGGAGATTGGGATTGACATATATGCACTAATATGTATAAAATAGATAAATAATAAGAGCCTGCTGTATTAAAAAAATAAAATTTAAAAAAATGTAAGAGTTTTAAAACTGAAAGATGAAGTTAGTTTTTTTCTTTTCACTTCGTTCTAAAGGGCTTGCATTTCATGAATTCACTTAGAGCTGCTCTGTGCACTGCAGTAGCCAGTGGCCACGTGGGACTACTTAAGTTTAAAGTAATTAAAATTAAATAAAGTTACAATAGGTTGCTCAGTCATGGTAGCCACATTTCAAGTGCTCAGGATTCACATGTGGCTAGTGGCTACTGCATTGGACAGTGCTCTACTGGATATTTCCATCATCCACAGCCCTGACTTCAAGTGTCCATGAGGCTGTAATGTTATTTTTCTCCTAAACTCATGTTTGTAGGTGGAATTTTTGAGATCATCTTCACTCTCTAACTTTACAGGTAGGGAAAAGGGGGTGTACAGATGGGAGGTGACTAGCTGCCCATGGTGGCATAGCTGAGGGTGCAAAGCTATAATTAGAACCAGACCTCCTCTTATGTTTCATAGTTGTTTTACAGTGTTGTGTTAGTTTCTACTGTACAGCAAAATGGAGTTCCCTGTGCTATACAGCAGGTTTTCATTAGTTATCTATTTTATACATATTAGAGACCTCCTGTGGGAGATTAGAATGATTAAAGTACAAACTGAAAATAAAGATGATTGAGAAGGCAGGCAGGCGGAGCCTTTGCCTGAAGGTGGCCTCTGTGGTTAGGAGTGATGAGAAACCACTGGTTTAAGACTGGGAGCCAAGTGGGGAACATCGTCATACTGAAAGGGTCAAGAATGCCTGTACCCCATGCCTCATAGATTTTATCCTCCACTCAACCTCTGGCTCCTGAAAACTGTAGTTAGGAAGATGAGCAGAGAGTACTAAGCAGTTAATAACTGTTGTTAGTATTAGTAGTAATACTGGTAATACTAATAACAACAACAGTTGTCAACTACTTAGTACCCTGCCAATTTTCCTAACTACAGTTTTTAATTTTGGTGGTGGTGGTGGTGGTGGTAGTAGTAGTAGTAAACAGGAAGACAGGAGTTAAAAATTATGTCCATAGGGGCTTCCCTGGTGGCGCAGTGGTTGAGAGTCCGCCTGCCGTTGCAGGGGACGCAGGTTCGTGCCCTGGTCCGGGAAGATCCCACATGCCGTGGAGCGGCTGGGCCTGTGAGCAATGGCCGCTGAGCCTGCGCGTTGGAGCCTGTGCTCCGCAACGGGAGAGGCCACAGCAGTGAGAGGCCTGCGTACTGCAAAAAAAAAAAAAAAAAAAATTATATCCATAGGCAGTCCTTAAAGGTGGAGGGAACTTTCTGGTATACCAAGATAATTCTCTTGTGTGTTTATGCTAGTGATTCTCAAATGTTAGTGGATATTGGAATTCCCCTAGAGGGCTCATTAAACCATAAATGTTGGACCCCATCCCCACCGTTTTGATTCAGGAAATCTGGGGTAGGGCCTGAGAATATGCATTTCTAACAAGTTCCCGGATGATGCTTATGCTGCTGGTTTGGGGGGCATACTTTGAAAAGCATTGGTTTATACCTTTAGGTGCTAAAGAGAACTCAGCTTAAGTTTCAGTGGCACAGATTTACATTTCTAACCCCCT